CACGAAGTTCATAATAAAAATAGTTTTGGCGGGATTCGAAACATCGATTTACACTTAGGAGAAAATTGTCTTTGCCACAAGACCACAAGTTCTTCGGGTGAACGGCTATGTTATTTGATCTATTTTACCGTTCTTACGAAGTTCATATGAAAAACGGTTATGGTAGGATTCGAACCATCGATTTACCACTTATGAGACCATTGTCCTCGCCACTAGACGCAAGATCTTGTGCTGGATGCCATGGTTATTTAGTTTACTTTATCCTTTTACGAAGTTCATAATGAAAACGGTTTGGTAGGATTCGAACCATAGATTTAACACTTGGGAGACCATCGTCTTCGCCACTAGACCGCAAGGTCTTGTGCTGGATGGCCATGGTTATTTAGTTTACTTCCTCCTTTACGAAGTTCATAATAAAAAAAGAAGCTTTTGGTAGGATTCGAACCATCGATTTACCACTTATGAGACCATTGTCCTCGCCACTAGACGCAAGATCTTGTGCTGGATGGCCATGGTTATTTAGTTCACTTTATCCTTTTACGAAGTTCATAATGAAAACGGTTATGGTCGGATTCGAACCATCGATTTAACACTTGGGAGACCATCGTCTTCGCCACTAGACCGCAAGGTCTTGTGCTGGATGACCCTGGTTATTTAGTCTACTTTATCCTTTCACGAAGTTCATAATAAAAAATAGTTTTGGCGGGATTCGAAACATCGATTTAACACTTGGAGAAAATTGTCTTTGCCACAAGACCACAAGTTCTTTGGGTGAACGGCTATGTTATTTGATCTATTTTACCGTTCTCACGAAGTTCATAATGAAAAACGGTTATGGTAGGATTCGAACAATCGATTTACCACTTATGAGACCATTGTCCTCGCCACTAGACGCAAGATCTTGTGCTGGACGGCCATGGTTATTAGTTTACTTTATCCTTTTACGAAGTTCATAATGAAAACGGTTATGGTCGGATTCGAACCATCGATTTAACACTTGGGAAACCATCGTCTTCGCCACTAGACCGCAAGGTTTGTGCTGGACGACCCTGGTTATTAGTCTACTTCATCCTTTCACGAAGTTCATAATAAAAATAGTTTTGGCGGGATTCGAAACATCGATTTAACACTTAGAGAGAAAATTGTCTTTGCCACAAGACCACAAGTTCTTCGGGTGAACGGCTATGTTTATTTATCTATTTTACCGTTCTTACGAAGTTCATAATGAAAACGGTTATGGTAGGATTCGAACCATCGATTTACCACTTATGAGACCATTGTCCTCGCCACTGACGCAAGATCTTGTGCTGGATGGCCATGGTTATTTAGTTTACTTTATCCTTTTACGAAGTTCATAATGAAAACGGTTATGGTAGGATTCGAACCATAGATTTAACACTTGGGAGACCATCGTCTTCGCCACTAGACCGCAAGGTCTTGTGCTGGATGGCCATGGTATTTAGTTTACTTCCTCCTTTACGAAGTTCATAATAAAAAAAGAAAGCTTTTGGTAGGATTCGAACCATCGATTTACCACTTATGAGACCATTGTCCTCGCCACTAGACGCAAGATCTTGTGCTGGATGGCCATGGTTATTTAGTTCACTTTATCCTTTTACGAAGTTCATAATGAAAACGGTTATGGTCGGATTCGAACCATCGATTTAACACTTGGGAGACCATCGTCTTCGCCACTAGACCGCAAGGTCTTGTGCTGGATGACCCTGGTTATTTAGTCTACTTTATCCTTTCACGAAGTTCATAATAAAAAAAAGTTTTGGCGGGATTCGAAACATCGATTTAACACTTGGAGAAAATTGTCTTTGCCACAAGACCACAAGTTCTTTGGGTGAACGGCTATGTTTATTTGATCTATTTTACCGTTCTCACGAAGTTCATAATGAAAAACGGTTATGGTAGGATTCGAACCATCGATTTACCACTTATGAGACCATTGTCCTCGCCACTAGACGCAAGATCTTGTGCTGATGGCCATAGTTATTTAGTTTACTTTATCCTTTTACGAAGTTCATAATGAAAACGGTTATGGTCGGATTCGAACCATCGATTTAACACTTGGGAAACCATCGTCTTCGCCACTAGACCGCAAGGTCTTGTGCTGGATGACCCTGGTTATTTAGTCTACTTTATCCTTTCACGAAGTTCATAATAAAAAATAGTTTGGCGGGATTCGAAACATCGATTTAACACTTAGGAGAAAATTGTCTTTGCCACAAGACCACAAGTTCTTCGGGTGAACGGCTATGTTTATTGATCTATTTTACCGTTCTTACGAAGTTCATAATGAAAAACGTTATGGTAGGATTCGAACCATCGATTTACCACTTATGAGACCATTGTCCTCGCCACTAGACGCAAGATCTTGTGCTGGATGGCCATGGTTATTTAGTTTACTTTATCCTTTTACGAAGTTCATAATGAAACGGTTATGGTAGGATTCGAACCATAGATTTAACACTTGGGAGACCATCGTCTTCGCCACTAGACCGCAAGGTCTTGTGCTGGATGGCCATGGTTATTTAGTTTACTTCCTCCTTTTACGAAGTTCATAATAAAAAAAGAAGCTTTTAGTAGGATTCGAACCATCGATTTACCACTTATGAGACCATTGTCCTCGCCACTAGACGCAAGATCTTGTGCTGGATGGCCATGGTTATTTAGTTCACTTTATCCTTTTACGAAGTTCATAATGAAAACGGCTATGGTCGGATTCGAACCATCGATTAACACTTGGGAGACCATCGTCTTCGCCACTAGACCGCAAGGTCTTGTGCTGGATGACCCTGGTTATTTAGTCTACTTTCTCCTTTCACGAAGTTCATAATAAAAAATAGTTTTGGCGGGATTCGAAACATCGATTTAACACTTGGGAGAAAATTGTCTTTGCCACAAGACCACAAGTTCTTTGGATTAACGGCTATGTTATTTGATCTATTTTACCGTTCTGACGAAGTTCATAATGAAAAACGGTTATGGTAGGATTCGAACCATCGACTTACCACTTATGAGACCATTGTCCTCGCCACTAGACGCAAATCTTGTGCTGGATGGCCATGGTTATTTAGTTTACTTTATCCTTTCACGAAGTTCATAATAAAAAATAGTTTTGGCGGGATTCGAAACATCGATTTAACATTTAGGAGAAATTGTCTTTGCCACAAGACCACAAGTTCTTCGGGTGAACGGCTATGTTATTTGATCTATTTTACCGTTCTTACGAAGTTCATAATGAAAAACGGTTATGGTAGGATTCGAACCATCGATTTACCACTTATGAAACCATTGTCCTCGCCACTAGACGCAAGATCTTGTGCTGGATGACCCTGGTTATTTAGTCTGCTTTATCCTTTCACGAAGTTCATAAAAAAATAGTTTTGGCAGGATTCGAAACATCGATTTAACATGCACGTGGAGAAAATTGTCTTAGCCACCAGACCACAAGTTCTTTGCGTGAACGGTTATGTTTATTTGATCTACTTTATCGCTTTGACGAAATTCATAATGAAAAAAGGTTATGGTAGGATTCGAACCATCGATTTAACAGTTGGGAGACCATCGCCTTCGCCACTAGACCAAAAGGTCTTGTGCTGGATGGCTATTGTTATTTAGTTACTTTACCCTTTGTACGAATTCATAATGAAAAACGGTTTTGGTAGGATTCGAACCATCGATTTACCACTTCTGAGACAATTGTCTTCTCCAATCGACTACAAGTTCTTGTGCTGAACGGCCATGTTTATTTAATTTACATTATCCTTTTCACAGATTTATAATGAAACACGGTTATGGTAGGATTCGAGCAATCGATTTGCCACTTGGAGACCATTCAGTTTGACAACCTTCAATCCAGCTGTTTTTGTAGCATTCTAGTAAAATTTGTATGTTCCTTCACAGGCAGCTAGTGATCTAGAATAAAAATAACCAATGATTCAATATTTTGTCCACCACCACCCAAGGGTGTGTACATAGCTTTTACTTGTAAACAACTCTAATATGTCTTTCCCTGAACAAGTAAAGTTGTCGGGTTTAAATAGAAAAAACACACTTACAATGATTTCACAACTTCTTCTTCTTCTCGTTCCCGTTTGCTTCTATCCGATTCGTTAAACAAGTTTTTAAAGAAATTCTCTAAAGCTGATAACGTGATGTTATCATTGAATCACCATCTTTTGGTGTATGGAAATGAATATTGTGTTTTCGTACTGCTTAATTCACGACCAATATGTCGGTTGGTCGGCAGCTCTATATATTTTTTATGATATTTATCTCATCTAACGAGTTTCGTACATCTCGACCAATTAATATGGCATTTAAGAGTACTAATTGCACGGATTTGGATGGATTGGCTGCGGATGGCATAACCTTGAGTATTTGTGGAGATATTGCTTTTCGATGTCGGGTCAACATACAACGAGTTGGTTTTGAATCTAAATACAAAGTCTCATTTGCGATTTCTAAAGAAACGAAACATGGATTTGTTAGTCTCCCTTACAAAAATTTCCTATAGGATCTTATAAGAATTCTTATAGGAATTTTGAATTCCTATAGGATTCCTATAGGAACTTAAATTTCCAATTAGAATAATTCCTATAAGATCAAATTCTTATAGGAATTCTTAAAGGAAACTTTGACTCCAGTAGGAATTCCTATTGGATAAAATAATTTTTATAGGAAAACAAAATTATTCTTATAGGATTCCAATCAACTCAACTTTCCAGTAAGAATTAATTTAAGATTAAAAATTCTTATGGGAATTCGTAAAGTCGATTAAGAAACCTCAAAGTTTGAAATTCGTGTATCGGTCATACTTCAGTTTTTAAGCGCGAGTTACATGACATAGAAAAATATTTCGTTTTAATTAATTGAATTGAATTAGCATCACATGATAAAGAATTACCACTAGAAAACCTCACAACAGGCAAGTTTCAATCTATTAATTCATTTATAATAATTTACTATATACAAATACAGAGCTGGAATTGAACTTAATTGTCATTAATATGGAATGGAAGTGGGCAAAAGTACTCTTTGACCCCAAGAGTCAACGAAATACATTTTCTCTTTATCTGTTCTGGGTGGATCGCCATTTGCATTCCAGCTTGTTCCACCTCCACTAAGAAGTTACTCTTCACACCAAAATCAGCATCTTTGAATAATGGTCTAGCACAAACAGCCAGTGGCTGAATTAAGACTATACTGTATGACTTGCAATCACAGTATTGCAACTCAACTAGGTTACAGGTACATTCTGGCTTAATGGATAGAAGTCCTATGATTCTACCATACATAAATTGATCATGTTCAACAAAGACATTGCAATTGACATGCTTCTTTGATCTAACATAATCTATAGTAGAGTATAGCTGATGATTTGCAACAAATCTAGAGTAGATAAATCCGCATCGTTTTGTAAGTGTCAAATCTAACAACCGTTCAATTGCAAGTACTTGTGATGCGGTGATTTCCACGGGACATTCTTTACCAATGCCACGAACTCCTTCTAAAAGAATTTCTTCATTTCCAATCGATCTTTCACCCCCTAGCTTCCGATACATGCTGATGACAGCTGGACTCGTTTCCCCATCAATGCACTCCTTAGACAATTCGGCAATTTTTCTTCCTCTACGAAATGTTTCCACTATTTGTTTTGGGACGTGTTGCGTTCCATGAAACATCTTATGCAACAGATGGTTGTTTGATTCAAACACAAAGGTTGAAGACGACCAAAGAGGACCACAATCCCTCACTGACTGGGCAAGATGTACCAACTGGTGTACGTTGAATGAACAACGTTTCAAACCATACAATTCTTCCGTCTCAATGACAAATTTTGTTAAACTGACTTCTGCAGAAGAAATGGTGTGCTCGTCAATTGAATCTCCGAGGAGGCAGTACACACCATAGACGAAGAGGAAGAGATGCTTCAGGAATACATGTGGAAGTATACCATGAAGTACAACGAGGCTATAGAATATGAAAGCTCTCCACTCCGACGCTTTCCAGTGGGGTCGATCTGTAATGGACCTTGGGGCACGGCTAATTTCACTAGGAGCATTGATGGCCAGTAACCGTTCATCGATTTCTGCCTCGCGTCGGCCAATGTAGTAAAGCTGATCGTTTTGTTTGCTGTCCATCCACAGGTTGAGGAACTGTCGCATGACACCTAGGCAGACACAGTGCATGTAGTCAACAGCTACGCCTCTGACTGGATTAAACGTTGGAAGAATTCCAATTACAGATGGTCCTTTTACACCCTTTACGACCACGTTTTCCTCAATAGATTGTAGAGTATACCGCATTTGCTTTCTTTTAGTTCTTTTCTTTGGTGGGCCTCTGTAAGGATAATAACGTGTTGGAGGATGAGCATTTGCGATGGTCTCACCGGGAAACTCGCACCAATCACAGCCAGAATCTCCATTAAATTGCTTGCAATTCTTTACAATAGCTCTTGCAGGTGAATCGGCCGAAAGAACCATCGCATAAACTTTTCTTGGCTGCAGCTCATCTTGATTTAGGAATCCATTGGTCTCAAGATTCTTGCAGTCTTCAACGAATGGCTTCAGGAATGTGTTCATTGCAGGTTTCTGGTTCCCGAACCAGAGGCCATTCAGCAACACGTGCTTTCCTCGCAAATGCGGAGGTAGTTCATTTACTGAGCTTTGGATTGGCCAAATTGAGTAGCGCGATGACTCGAAAACTGGAATTCCATCCGTGTTCCATGTTAAAGTCAGGTCATTGTTGGAAAGGTTATGATTGTCTACAAGTTCCTGGTATAACCTGGCCGATGTCACGTCTGAAATAACACTACTTCTCCCCACAGTAGGAATGTTACGATTGGTCAAATACATACTTAACTTTTCGTCCGAAAGCAGGCCCTTCAGCTGATCTTCCAATGGCAAATACAAGAAATAATTTCCATTTTCTTCACATTCTTTAGCACTGAATCTTTGTTGGCATGATTCGCAGTGCCCTTCTGTAACGTCTTTGCCCAAGTAGAACAAACATGATGGGCAATAAAAATGTATCTGTGTCTAAAACAAAACAAACTAAAAATTTAAGTTGAAAATGTTTAGACTCGATTCCTTTCAATATATACACACTTCAATATAAGTACCGTATTTTTAAATATTCTGACTTAATAACCCTTTAACCCCAGTGTGTTCTACATATTTCTCGGTGCTTAATGGGTTAATTAAATTAGTTTTGATTTGCTTAAAACTGAAATTAACTTGGATTTTGAAAACCTACATGATGTAATTTAAATTACACTTTACCCGTAACTCTGAGCTTTTGTTATAATAATCAATAATCATAATTACAAATATTATTTTTACCTCAATATTTCCAGCTCCAACTGCCTTGAAGAACTTATATAGTGTAGTAGGTATAACATGAGGAAGGAGAACATTTAAAAGCAACAACAGATCTGCCAGAGCCTCCTTTGTAAGACTATGCCGAACCATATAGGAAAGGATCAGAAGGAGACATTGTTTGGTTGTAACACTTGCTCCTGCATAGAGAGGAATGTTTCTCTGGCCACCCTGTTAAAAAACAGTTATTGGTTTTTAAAGATATTTTTCATATACCATGTGCAGGCATTCAGTCAAACTAAAAGTGCAAAAGTATATTTACAAATGCAAACTCTAAGCTTTTGCAGAGTTTGACCTTTTGTTTACCATTTTCCCCAGTAATTTCTATATATCAGTTGTTCTATCAGTCCAGAGTTGCGGGTCTGGTTAATTGTCTTGTATACATGCACTCACACCCACATATTGAGGCACCCTGTCCTTGCGCTTTGAGCTCAGGCTTAAGTTTTCTCATTGTTCGTAGTTGAACTGAACTTTTTTAATTTGTTTTAAATGAACTCTCTTGACATTGTTCCTAAGCTTTTTTGAGGGTGTTTGCAAGCCTCATAATAACTGTACCACAACCCTACGTAGTCCAACAAGAGCTGAAATACTGTACATCACTCCTGTTAAGAGTTTCCAATTTCAGGAAACAAGGGGGCAGGGGCCAAAATTCTTTGGTTTCAAGGGTTGAACTAAGCTATAGGAGCCTAGAAGAACAGAATTGTCCCCACAGTATATACATGCAGTTACGTCTTGCAAATCTAGAATTTCGGCAGTGACCCCACAGTTACAAATTGGCCCTGTGGCCCCTCTTGCCGCCCCTGCACTCAGGTTGTAAATGGTATAAGAATGGTTATCTACTCAAATATACAAGAAAATAGCTAGAACGATTGAATCACCTATCAATCACCAACGTGGAGCTTTTATGTATCATTATATATAATGTAAAATACTAGTATCTAAAATTACTGTGTACCTTATCAGGTATCGCTTCTTCATCATTAACAGATTCCTCATTCTCAGGCTGGCTTTCTGCACTATCTGAATCAGGAACGTCGTTCTGATCCTTCGAAAATAAGAAAAATGTAATTGGTATCTCGACTTAGTTTGGGACTCTTCAGTCCTGTTGTCCGCGCACCTTCAATCATTTACATGTAATCGATTGTAAAGTTAACAAATTTATATTACATAAATGCATAAGAAAATTGTCACCTGACCTTAGCAATCCGATTTTAGTACTACCTTTTTATGATTTATACTAAATGCTGTATCAACCCGACAAACTATTAATATATAAATACAATTCAAATAAATCAAATTCTCACCTGAAAGTGAACATAGCCATTATCTGATTCAATTTCAACTTCGTCTATAGGTCGATTAGGACAATCGTTTTCAGCATTATCAACCTCAGCAATACGCCTTTTACGTCTGTCGCACAACGTAGATTTCGGAATCCTGATAGTTGTATCTATTTCGTATTGTTTATAAGGCCCTCTAGCTCTATTAGCCATTTTCCTCGGGAAGCATTTTGATTCAAGTACAGTCACTTCAATGGTTCACTTGATTCTTGTTGTTTACATGTGTCAAGCAGTTGTAGAATATCCAATTTAGCTTGACCAATCAGAGATAAGTTTCCATGGTAACGCATTTGCAGAATGACAGTTGTCCAATCACAGCCTTCGCTTGCAGTTCCGGCTTGTGTCTCGGCTTTTCCCGGCAATCTCGGCTTTAAGGTTTCGTTGCATTTGTATATTTTAACAAAATGTCTATGAAGTTTGCTTTATTTGAGTTTTCCGAAGATGGCAGTTCCGAAGTAGGGGAAAGTTCATGGATTACTGGAAAAGATAGGTCAACTTTCAATAATGATGAATGGATTCAGGACGAGGAAGTAATAGTTCGATGGCCTAAATTGCCACGAGACTATACAAAATGGTCAAACAAAAATGGAAAATCCCCGCTTGATCCTGCGTGTGAGACTGAAACGCATGCTGCTCGTGTCTTGAAATTCAATGGTAAGATTGCTTTGTAACAGTTTATAAAACATTGTGTTGGTTATCGATCACAGTTCACAAGTACTGATTTTATATAGTTATCACCTTGCACGGATTTAAGGCTTTAAGCTTTGTTAGGCTGCGTTTACACGACCAAATTTTGTTTGACAAACGTCTTCTTCTACTGTATGTAAAGAAGTAGATGAGTTATGAATATATTTGATTATTCGCTTTTCATGAGCTAGCAACCATATTGTGTTGTGCCTTATATTAATACACTCAATCATATTCGTCAGGATCAGAAATTTGTCAAAGAAAATTTGGTCGTGTAAACGCAGCCTATAGTAGACCTTTAATTTCAGAGCATGTGTAAATTTAGATATCTAGTTCACACATTTTCACTTGGAGTATGATAATTTCTGGATAAAAACACAGAAATTAAGGATATGATTAAAGAGTTGCATGGAACACGTGGTGAGAAATAGATAGGATAACTAGACAATGTGTTAAATATGGAAACAAATCAGGTATATACTGTCATCGAATGAAATATAACATTTAAATGAACAAGTTGTTAGTTGAATAAGTGTATAATATACCGGTATTTATTTTATGTTTCATTAGATACATATGATGGCATTCGTAAGATGATGACCACATATATTCTGCATGGAACTATGCAAACACCAGCAAGAGGAAGAGGAAAGCGACAGAGCAAAAGGAATGAACGCTATTGTGACACAAGTGATGAGGATAAGGATAAAGAACCAGTAAGTCCTGTATCTCTGACATGAAATATGCATGTAGCATGCCTAAAGTTCATTAATATTTTTTCAAAATGTTAATTGCTGTTCTTCCAATATTTTTTGTCCATATAGCCACAAAAAAAGAAGAAAATGAAGACACCTACAAACTCGTCACTGTCGAAAAATCATATTCAGCATTTGAAAGATAAAATTGAGAGGGGAAAGGTATACTAGTGTACTTGATACATGTGTGATACTATTGATATTTATGTGAAATTCTCTTTTGTAGATACATAAATTCCCTATTAAAACAATAAATTATTTGAATAATTTATCACTTATAGTACTCCACTCACAATGAATCTTTAAAATTTAAATTGAAGATATTTGGAAGCAGCGATGAGTCAAGTGGTTCGAGCCCTGAAGAATCTCAGCCAAAAATGGAAGAAATGAGGCAACAACTTTGTGCCAAAGACAAAGAAATTAGGGCATTAAAAGAAGAAATAAAAAATTTGAAAGGTATATAATCTTAAGATTTTTAAGATCGCTCCATGTTTTACCTGTTAAAGCTGGCTATCAAGTAGAGTTACCATACCAAGTTAAATAGTCCAAATTGAAAAATATAGTATTTGCAAGTAATAGTGAAGAAAACTATGCAAACAATTAGAATGAGAGAGAAAAAATCTCCATACCATGTACTGTAGTTTTCAAATGTTGAGCTTTTAAAAGATGACAGTCCAATTTACTGCTGTCCCTTTATACTCTGTTTTTTTATACAAGGGGAAGTTTTATTTTACTATTAATATATCTATAATGCAGACCTGCAAGATGTTGCTAAAGAGTTAAAAACTTCGATTGAAGTACTGAGCAAGCTGACCCAGGGTGTGACTGCCATACAGAAGTTGCCCTCTACACCGAAGCACATCCATGAAGAAATCATCACCCGGAAAGTTGACACCACAAAACGTCCTTCATCACCAACTTGCAGTGTTGTCAGCGCAACAACGACATCCAGCAGTGACAGTGAGACAGAAAAGGTGAATACAGTACCAGTGCTAAATCCTTACAATTAGTGCTTTAATTGATTGACTTTTTCCACAAGGTCCGCATGATGAGAAAAACTTGAATGAGACCAGACTGGTAACAGTTAACTGATAAATGATAAATATAACACATCTCATCTCTAATAACAAGTTGATGCAACTCATGCAAAATTAATGATTTATACTTAAAATCAAATTGGAATTGACATTGTTTTCCATTTGAGCAATTGCTTACTTTAATTCCAAGTGTTTTAACATACAAGGAGGCTTTGCTTTATACAATTATACCAATGTATTTTTTATATCATGCATCAATAAATTCAACAATGATAGTCTTTATATATATATATATATATATAATTTTATCATTTCAATAGAGCATTTGCAATAATTTTCTTCCCATGGATTAACTGGATTAACATGGATTAACCAAACAATAAATATTGCTGCTATGGTGGTGTTTTGTGCACCAACAAGGCAGAATATGACTTTATGTGCAAACACTCTATTATATAATCATATATATCTATATTTTTTTTATTTAGGTCACCCTTTGCCCTGGTGTCAACATTTCTAAGGGTCAAAAGAAACTGTTGGCCGCTAAGCAGAATCCAAAGGATTTTGTATACACTCTTTTGCCAATGGTATGGTCAAGAGAGGTTCTGTGTAGCCATTCGGTAACTGGGCGTCAGTCAAATGCGCATAAAGACAGGGAGGCAAAGCCGCAGCTGGACAATGAAAAGGTCGACAGTATTTGCAGTAAGTAAAATACCTTATATATATATATATATATATATATATATATATATATATATATATATATATATATATATATATTATTTAAAATTAAGTTGCAATTCCGAGTTTCACGTTCACACGATCATCAGGCGACGGGATGTAAAGTTCAACTTGAACTAGGCCAGACTGTTAACAATTAACTGTCTGTTAATTGTTAACAGACAGTTAACTGATAAGTGAGTTGAACTTTACATCCTGTCGCCTGATCATCATGTAAACGTGAAACTTGGAGTTGCGACTTAATTTTAAATAAAATTGAAATATAATAAGCTCTACTAACAAATGGTATTGAGCACTCTTCATCTCACATGATACTTTTACATACAGTCAATTATATATATGTACTATTTACAACATGAGCGGTGTCCGGGTTGTATCGGATATACAAGCTCGAGCCTCAAAAATCCTTTGTTTTCATCACATGATATCAATCGACTGTATTGTTTGATACAGAATACTAATGACCCTATTAGTATTCTGTATCAAATGATACAGACTGCTGTAGTTTTTATTGCATATACAAAGGCTATCATATGACCCAAATGGAGCAATATGATTGCTTTTTGTATTGATTAATTATTTATGAATTTCACAAATATATATACAAATGTTGTTCGAAATGTGGATAGCGCTATCCGTTGGATAGTGATTTTTTCAACCTTCGTAAAAAAGGACGAAGCAGTGCGAAATGTCTGATTTTGCCTACAAAATAAATGGTAAAGGCTTTAATCTATGAATACCAATCCTTATCTTATATGTTATAACGATAAATGAAAAATTTTACAAAGGTTTTAAAAAATCACTATCCAATGGATAGCACTATCCACATTTCGAACAACTGATTCTTATGAATATGGGGAATATATTTATTTACAGTATTTATGCTCTTGATTCAGATTATGCGTCAGAAAAATTTAGCTGTTCATCAAAGGATATAAAGAAGCACATGGCAGGAAAGATGAACAATATAATAAAATGTTACAAAATGCAAAAGAAAGCAGAATAATAACAGTTTTATTATACAGTATACTAGTTGTCTATGTTATTAACCTATTTATTATAATATTACAGTATTTGGCCTGTTTTTATGTTCTTTTATGATGGGGCATTGAAGTCAAATATGATTTATATGACTATTTTTATATATAAGCCTGTTTTTATGTTCTTTTGTGATGGGGCATTGAAGTCAAATATGATTTATATGACTATTTTTATATATAAGTAAATTCATTAATACATGGGACTGTGTTTGTTAATTGCAATTGATTGTTGAAAAAAAGCTTATAGGAATGTTTGGGAATTCCTATGGGAATCTTTTAGAACTTCCTATAAGAATTCCTCTAGAAATTCCTATTGGAATCTTTGGGTATCTTAAAGGAATCTGTAGGAATTCCTATAAGAATCTCTTAGAAATTCCTATAAGATTCCTTTAGAAATTCCTTTAGGAAAATGGTCCGAAATTCCTATAAGAATTCTTATAGGAATTTCTTATAGGAATTCCAATAGGAAATTTTTGTAAGGGCTAGTCCTGTGTACGAAGCCTTCAAGCAGGATCTAACAATGTGTGTGGATGTTTCGTCTAATCCTGGTCCTCAATCTTTTGATAATAATCAGTCGGATGAGATGTATCAACATCGAAAGCAGTTACGTTTGATGAACACGTTTCGACCCGCTAATAATCCTGAGGAGCTTAGTTCAATGCTTGGGCAGTTGAATCTACAGAAAGGTTGGTTGTTTTATATGACCTATAGGAATATTTGCTATAATACCTACTTCGCAAACACCACCGCCACACTATACAATCACTATCATCCGGCAAATCATCAGGAAGCTATCCCTGTTAGAATCACGGACCGTGTCCCAAAACCTCTAAATATATATGGCAGAAATTATATTAAGAGAATCAATCTCATCAATATTCCTTTATCAGGCATTGCCAACACTCCTGATACAGCTGTTACTCAGCTTTGTTCTTTTGGTCTTCTCAACTGCCGATCTATTCGGAACAAAGCGAATTTAGTCAAAGACTATGTGGTTGAGAATGAATTTGATATATTTGCGATTACAGAAACCTGGCTTCACCCTGACAAATTTCATCATATATCTTTTGGGAATTTCACCCCGAAGGGCTACTCCTTTAACAATATCTCGAGACAACAAGGTAGAGGGGGAGGCATTGGTATACTATACAACAAGACTTTAAAAGTCAGGCTGGACTCGGCGAAAATGTTCTCACACATTAAGTCTTTCGAAGTGATGGGTATGCAAATCAATGTGTCATCTCAAATTCTAAATATAATCGTATTATATCGACCTCCATGTAGACGATAAGTCGGAATTAACAACAAAAAAAAATTCTCAATCTTGTTGATTCTTTTAATCTGGAACAACGTGTACAAACAACCAACACACTTTGCTGGTCACACGTTAGACCTTATCTTGTCTCGCCATGAGGAAAATATTGTTCAATCTATTGACGTTCATGATCCATCTATATCTGACCATTACACGGTTACATATGAACTCAATTTAAAAAACCATTGTTTCAGAGAAGGGTCGTGGAGTCACGTAAAATTAAAGCAATCAATATGGACTCGTTCCTTAATGAAATTAGGCTATCTCCGATTAACACTTGGAACACGGCTGATATAAGTGCGAAAGTCAACCAATACAACTCGGAGCTGCCCAAAATTCTGGATCATCATGTACCACTTATTTCCAGAGAGATAATTATTCGTCCAGCTGCACCTTGGTACACTGAACAAATTAAAAACGAAAAACGTATCAGAAGGAAACTCGAGCGGGTATGGCGTAAGTCAAGACAATCCTGTGATCGTCTAAAATACAGTCAGCAATGTCGCCGTGTCAGTGAGCTATTATAGGAAAGTCGTACTCGTTATTATTCTGAAATTGTTAGAGATAATGGGAGTGACCAAAAGAAATTATTTAAAACCGTTGGAAAGTTACTACATTATACCACTGATTCTCAATATTCTGTGTGCCAATCTGATGAGAATCTAGCTAACAATTTTATGACTTTCTTTGAGGACAAAATTAATAAAATATATGAAATCTAACGGAATCCACTTAGCTAAATAAAATGTCGTTGTTTGCAGCTAAATGAAATGTCGTTGTTTGCAGTAATCCTCAGTTATTCTCCTGGTTTCTCATCGTTCCCAGTCTCTTCATCCTTACTGCGAAAACTGGTTTGAAAATATTAAAGATTTGGTGGAGAAATACTTCAAGTGTGTGGTCTTCTTTTTTCTTTATATTTTGTTATGTAAAAATGTAATATTTTGGTATGTTGATTTTTGTTTAAGTTCGTGATGTATTTCTATGTAGCCTCAGTCTTATCCTAATGGGAATTTTTTTTTAGATGTGATGAGAGGACGGTGAACCGAATTAAAGCTCTAAATGTGCTTTGTAACATATTAGGAACGTTATCTCCACTATATGAGGTATAAAATTTTAGTACTTTGAATAAATTTTAGTCCATTTTTCTAGACATTAGCGATATTATGAATCTTTTTCTAGTTTTATAACTCCTTGTTTTTTACAGGAAGAAATACTTGAGAATTCAGTGTTGCCACATTTAGACCACATTGTCAAAGATCGGGATATTTCTGTGCGGATCCGAGCTGTCCAGCTTCTGGTTGATGTTATTGAATCCTCTGATTCACCGAAAGTTTGCGATGTTTTGCATATATTCGAGAAGGTACTCAATACAATCATTTTCAGACGGTTTCATTTCTCCACTCCAATTTCCCTCTTCATTCGTGATGAGCTGATACTGTACTTCAATAGAAAACTCTTTCTTATCAGTGAAAGCTTCCTGACCTGAACCTAACTATATATCCGCAAATTGGATCGTTTTACACGGGGGTCGTGAATGCAAACGCATCAGTGAAGTAAAAGGATATATATTTCATTTATCAATTCCAGATTGCCACTGTCCAGTTGATCCTCTCAAGCGATACGTTAAGCCGTCATGTAAAGAACATGTAAGGTAATTATAGAGACTGCAAGGTATATGTAGGAACATCTAGAGACATAAAATTACATCTAATCACTGTAATTTGTCTTTGTTGCTGCAGCCTCAGGATGAAACAGCGTAGAAAGACATCAAGGAGGCTGTATTAGGATTAGTACGCTTGTTCAAGGTAATGAAAGACATGCAGAGATCATATAATCATATAATCATATCATACCATAACTAACCATAACCAAATCATACCATACGATAACCATATCATACCATACCATAACCATATAGTCCCAAAATTATATCACACCATACCATACCATGACCAAATCATGCCATACGATAACCATATCATACCATAATTATATCACACCATACCATAGCATAACCAATTTATACCATAATTATATCATACTATACTAATGATTTAATTGGATATTTTATTGTAACATGTGCAGGTATTAACAGAACTGTGTACGTACCACATTTTTATTGGGCAAGATAACAGGTAAGAACCTGCTTCACTTTATTTTCAGCGGTTATCTGTTCTCGCTTAAACGTTGTTGTATATTTCGTCTAGTTTTGTCTGATGCGTACTTTGGAGATTGGTTTGGTTGCTCATTCCACGACGTTAAGCGTATCTTGTCTCACCATATGTATGTTAGAAATGTCTTCAGTTATGGCAAGGTATGGCTACTTAAGATTGTCTGGAATTTGAGACGTTTTTTATGTCCATTAGCACTTTGTAAAGAATGAAGTTGATTTAAGTAATTGCAGCGTTTTTGAAGTTTATTACTTTGGAGATATTTGAAATCGTGCCTTGATAATGTGCTCAGTGAATTTACAGAAATGTTTTTCAATAAACTCCAGCCTAAATGTAACGTCTCTTGTTATGCGAGATACTCCTTCACAAGATTATTTGGGTAATAATTTCTAAATTTTCTGTCCTTAGGCTGCTCCCAACATATCTGGAAAAGTTTACTAAACTTTCGCCAACGCCTCAAGTTGTCATACCACTGTTAGAATTTCTCTCTGGTATGTTTCTTGAAGTTACGTAAATTAAGAAATCTTTTATGAAATATCAATGTACCCCCTAAGGAGAGCTAGGTTGTATAAACACTCAATCGTATTCGACGAAAAGTTGCTAACATTCTTTTAAAACGTTTAAATAGCATTGTCAAAGCTTC